CCGCCTTTTGTTGCTTAAAGCGTTGTAAAATAAGGAATATGCAACAGAACGTTATGTGACCTGCAAAGCCTAAAACATTTACTATCAAGCTCTTTCCAGCAAGGTTTGCCAACCCTCATGGGGAACAGAATGGAATCCATAGAAATCTATTTGAAAAGTGAGGTCATGGGGCCCTCCACAACAGGCTGAGTTTAGAGTCTCTCCTGTGGACAAGGATGAAGTTCTCAGAGAGAGGAGAATCTGAAAGCGGAGTGGCACAGAGCAAAGATGAAATGCAGGTAACTGCCATATGGCACAACTCCAGGGGGCGCTATTCCTATGCTGGGCCATGTCCTGTGCCAGGGTGCAGTGTGAGGGGCAGCCCTGGGGTGGGGCGGGGAGGAGGCCCTGCACGGAGGGGCTGAAGCCAGCAGGTGAGGCAAATCCTGCCTTCTACTCTCATCTTCATCCTAACCCTCTCCAGGCCACTTTTCTTCTCTGCAAAAATCGAGGTGAGATAGATTGTCGTCCACTTAAAAAAGCTCTTAAACCTTTTGTTCAAACCAAATTTTACTTGGAAGCAAAACAAATTCAAGCAATCCGAGCAAACGGCACAGGCTGAAGGGGGTACGTAGGAGCTCGTGGCCCTCTGTGAAGACCCCGGGCTGTGGAGCACAGTTTGAAGTCCCCTGACTGTGTTGTCCTGGGGCTCCCTTTAGTCCCAACAGTTGGGGGACCCAGGCCAAGAAGGGGGTCCTTGAGGCGGCACAGGGGGATACTCCAAAGCCAGACCCAACTCACCATCTTGCCTGGGCCTGGACAAAGAGCATTCTAATAGAGGGTGGGGATTGTGCAAAAGATCAGGGGAAGAAGGACAACTCTGGTGGGAGCAAGTGTGCGAGGCAGGACAGGAATCTGGAGCTGGGTTGTGTGTATTTGGCGGGGCGGGGGCGGGGCGGGGGGGACATGGAGCACAGGATCAGGAGTTTGAATTTGGCCCAGGAACCTGGTTTGGTACAGGGGAGGGCAGAATCCAAAGGACAATTGTAAAGTGGCTACCAGTCATTTCATTCCAGAGCCACCTCCTGTCTCTGCCTTAATTCTCTCCTTTCCCTATGTGCCCGTGAAGCCTCCTTCCCCAGCCCATGAGTGGGGCTCAGCCACCTGTCCTGAATCTCCCCCCAACTGTCAGAAAGCCCTCTGGGCCTCCCACCTCTGCCTCTGCCACCTAGGGAGGGTGAGGCCTGGGGCGGAAGAGGGGGAAAGGGAGTGTGACCCCAGAGTCTCAGCTGTCACCCCGGGGCACAGAGGGAGAGGTAGGATCCAATCCATAAATTCCCCAGATATTTGGCTGAAATTAGATTTTATCACCAGCTGTTTATTCTGAGGGCTCCACTCCTCGGACGACTAGCAAGGCAGTCCAAAGAGAAACACTAGCCGGTGAAGAAACACCTCCAGGTCCGTCTGTCTGTCATCACTGCCCAGCCGTGATGCCAGTCCCCAGGGGGCAGCAGGTCTCAGCTGAGTGGGGATGTGCCTCACCCTTGGCAGGCATTTGGCCATGGTCACGCCTCCCTCAGAGAGCCCACTGTCACCAGCATGGGGCCCTACTGGCCCAGGCCAGCCTCGGCCTCCTGCCAAGCTGCAGGGCCTGCCCCCCAGCTTGCCCCCCTGACAAATGCCAGGCCCAGGGGTCCCCAGCCTGTGCTTTGATACCCACCAGATGGGACCCCTTGACAGGTCCTGTGGAAGACAAGCAGAAACCTGATAAGAAGTCAGGATGCAGATAGCAAATGTGAGGTTAGAGGGCCGGCATTCCATCTCCCCCACAAGTAGCAAGAGAGGAGACAGTTAGAAAATCCACCCCTGGAGGGAGGGAGTGAAGGATGGCCAGGGGTTGACTCAGAGCTAGGCTTTCTTTTCCCTGAGGCCCTGCAGGGTAGACTGGGAATATCAACTAGACTGGGAGACTGAGGCTGAGCGTATGAGTGTCTGTGTGTAATTGAGTGTGTGTGTGGGTGTGTGTGTGTGTGTCTATAGGGACAGGAACTGATCTTTTTGCACACCTGATAATCAGGGACACAAATTTCTGGTTAGGCTCATGTTCTTCCCTCTGCTCCCCACCCCCTGACCTTGGACCCAAGTTCAAGGGCATCCCAGTCCTCTTTGACTGATCATTAGCAAGCATTGTACTCCTACACCCCCCACACCCCTGTCTTGAGGTCTTAGCAGGAAAGCCTAACCTCAGAACCGCTGTGGGACAATCTCCCAAACCCAGTGTCTGGTGCTGCCTTTAGCCCCCACCCCACCCCCAGCCATGGATCCCAATATAGAAGTTCCCCTCTGTTTTGCATTCAGAGACTCTCATGCCCCAACCCCAAATGCTGTCACCATCAGCCTTCCCTCTAGAGGCCCCCACCAACTACTTTCTACTCCTCAGAGCCAGGAGCGGTGGACAGCGGGGTTGGCAGTCTGCCCTCACCCACTCTTGCCCTGCTATACAGATGGGCGTGCAAGGGGAGCCAAGCACGTCCCTCGGAGACCAAGAACAAAGAGGCAAGATGGTTTCCTCAGTCCGCAGGGGCTGGGATCTGGTCTACTAGGCTCCCCCCAAGTCCCACACACCAGAGCACCTTCTTTGTCCTCTGCTGCAGCCATCGCCCACTTTAATTGCTCACCAGGCTCTTCCTAAACTTCCCAACGCAGCTCCGCCGCCCAGCTCTCTGATTCCCAATGCCACCCCCTGCCTCAAGGCGCCCTCTCCCTCTGGGACCTGCTGGGCAGCCTGGTGTATAATATAATCCCCAGGCTCTACCCCGGGGCCCCTTGAGCAGCCTGGGGGGAAATTCTGCTCCTGGCTCTTAGCCTGAAAATGGGCAGTGGGGATTTTACCTCCAGTAACTGTTTTGCAGGAGAGAGGTCATTCCACAGGATAAAACACTGTGGGAGCATCTTAGAACTGTTCCCTCAGCCAACCCAAAGGTACAGGCCATGCATGATACAGGTCTTCTTCCATCTCCACGCCCTGGTGGTCTCCTCTAACTCAAGCCCCAGTTTCTCTCTCAGGGCTCGACCTAGATCCAAAGTCCTGGGCTGCAGACACTTACCTCGTTCAGGCTCTGTGAGCTGGGCTGGCCTGTGTCTCGCTGTGGACCGCAGACTGTGAGGGGCAGGCAGAGGGGAGGCTATGAAAACTATGGGCCACAGCAACTGGCCAGTAAAAATAGAACAGGCCCACTGCCCCTCCTCCCCCCCCACCCCACCCCCCCCCACACACAGAGCAGACACACGCTGAGGAACACACAGCAGGCATGCCCTGAAGACACGTGTGTCCAGGCTCAGGAGGACACACACATCCTGTGCACACAGAGGCCACCGACTGAGTCAAACCAGCACCCACCTAGGGGGTCGCAAGCCAAAGAAGGGAGAGAATGAGCAGCCAGACCAGATGA